TATAAAGACATATGTAGACTAAAATGAAAGGGGTGGAAAAAGATACTTTATGCAAACAGAAACCCAAAACAACAGGAGTAGCTATGCTTATATCAGAAAAAAATAAATCTCAAAACAAAAATCTATAAAAAGAGATAAGGTTATCATATAATGATAAAGCGGTGCATCCAGCAAGAGGATATACAATTGTAAATATATATGCAACTAACACTGGAGTACCCAGATACATAAAGCCAATATTATTGGAGCTAAAGAGAGAGAGAGATCCCAATACAATAATAGCTGGAGACTTCAATATCCCACTTTCAGCATTGGACAGATTGTCAGACAGAAAATCAACAAAGAAGCATAAGACTTAATCTGTAGTATAGACCAAATGAACCTAATAGATATGTGCAGAACATTTCATCCAGTGGTCGCAGAAGACATTCTTCTCCTCAGCACACAGATCATTGTCAAGGATAGGCCATATGTTTGGTCACAAAACAGTTCAAAAATTCCAAAAATTTGGAAAACCAAAACCAAGTATCTTCTCTGACTACAAAGGAATAAAACTAGAAATCAATTTGGAAACTATACAAACACACGGAAATTAAACAGTATGCTCTTGAATGACCATTGGGTCAATAAAGAAATAAAGAGGGAAATTTAAAAATTACTTGAAATAAATGAAGATGGAAGCATAACATATCAAAACCTATGGGGTACAGCAAAAACATTTACTAAGAGGAAAGTTTATAGCAATAAGTGTCTACATTAAAAAAGCAGAAGAACCTCAAATAAAAAAAACCTAATGATGCATCTTAAAGAACCAGAAAGCAAATACAAAATTCAAATCAAAATGGATTAAAGACATCTATGACCTCAAATAATAAGGTCATATAAGAAAAAAGAAACTGTAAGAAACAAGAACATATACAGGCAACCAAAGTTGGAAAGCTGGAATCACAAAGTTAAAAAGATTCTGCACATTAAAGAAAACAATCAGCCACATGAAAAAACAACCCACAGAATAGGAGAAAATTTTGCAAACTATCCATCTAATAATGGATTAATACCCATGATATATAAGGAGCTCAAACAACTCTGCAGGGAAAAAAAAATCTAATAATTTGATTTAAAAACAAGCAAAAGATCTGGATAGTCATTTATGAAAGGAGAATATACAGATGGCAAACAGGTGTATGAAAGTGGGCTCAATATCATTGATCATCAGAGAAATGTAAATCACAACTCTGAGATATCATCTCCCCTCAGTTAAAGTGGCTTTTACCCAAAAGACAGCCAATAACAAATGCTCATACACTGTTTGTTGGGATGTAAGTTAGTAAAGCCACTGTGGAGAACAGTATGGAAGAGTTTCAAAAAATTAAAAATGGAACTACCATATCATTCAGCAATCCCACTGCTAAGTATATAGGGACCAGATGGGCAGTCGTTGGATCATAGGGGTGGTTTCCCCCATGCTGTTCTTGTAATAGTGAGGGACTTCTCATGAGATCTGATGGTTTTAAAAGTGGCAGATTCCCCTGCTTGCTCTCTCCTGGTTCCATGTAAAGTAGGTCCTTACTTCCTTTTCTCCTCCCACCATGATTGTTAGTTTTCTGAGGCCTCCCCAGCCATCTAGAATGTCAACTAAACCTTTTGTCTTCATAAATTACCCAGTCTCTAGTAGTTCGTTATCACAGTGTGATATCAGACTAATACAAGCTTATTGCACACTGTAGGCCTGTATCAAAATACCTCAGGTACCCCATAAATATATACACCTCTTCTGTACCCATAAAAAGTTTTTAAATAAACAAAATGTTTAGAAAATATTATGAATAACTCTACCAATAAATTTTCCAACTAAAATGAAGTTGATATATTTAAAAGCTTTAAAACATATCATTCAGTAATTTCAATTGTAGGAATTTATGCTAAATGCATAAATTAAAAATATTTGTTGAATAATGCTAAATGCACAAAACTTCAACAAATTTTAAAATATTTGTTGAACAATTTTTCTCCTGAATTTTTTCTGTATTTTTTTAATTTGCTGGAATGAAATATGTCAGTGCCATATTTTGACTGTCATATGCCAAATAACTGGTTTTATCATTAAAACATTAAATTATTCTTTTTCTCTAAATAGAAAATATATACCAATGGTTTGACGCCAGTTGGCTTTGTTTAATAAATTTAAAACCATGTGTTTTAGGAAGAATGAATAGTGTTTAAGTATCTTTGTGTAATTCATCCTTCCTCTGGTAGACATATTTTGAGGCCACCATTATACCATCTGTTTCAACAAATACCCAAATCAGTGCCTCTATTCCTGTCCTCTCACTGTCTTTCTCAGTTCTGGTGTCAGTAAGTAAAATGTGTGTTTGTTTTCCCTTATTGGCTTACAATCATCAAAACATCTTTTGGTGGGAAACCATTCATTATGCTTTTCTCTTTCAAAACTATGATTTATATCAAAACCGTGATTCATTAGAGATTTCTAGCATTGGTTGAGATCATAACCCTCTTCTCCATTTATACATCTTCCAATTCCAGCCACACATGTAGTATGTCACATCTGAGCTTCAGTAGCTAGCTTACCTGCCTCTAGTTGCCCAATGTCAGCTCATTCTAAAGTAGCTGTTGGAATACATTTGGGACACAACGTATATCCTTTCCTTTCCTTTCCAGAGATCCTGCAGTGAATGACTGAATTTCTTAAGAAATTCTCATAGTGAAAATTGAAAATCACTTGGTTAAAAATTTCAGGGTCCTCATCTTAAATCTAGCTAACCTCCTATATTAGTCTGATCTTGTGTTGCTGTAAAGAAATACCTGAGCCTGGATAATTTATTAAGAAATTGGCCCACGGCTCTGCAGGCTGTACAGGCATGGTACCAGCATCTGCTTGGCTTCCGGGAGGCTTCAGGGAACTTTTACTCGTGGCACAAGGTGAAGCAGGCACAGGCACTTCACATGGCAAAAGCAGCAGCAAGAGGTGAGGGGAGGTGCCACACACGTAAACAACCAGATCTCTTCAGTACTGATTGTTGCAAGGACGGCACCAAGCCATGAGGGATCCACGCCCATGACCCAAACACCTCCCGCCAGGCCCCACCCTCAACACTGGGGAGTACACTTCAACATGAGATTTGGGCATGGGCAAATACTCTAACTATATCATCTCCTTTTGGTACATGAAGGCTAATGATCTTGAACCACCTGAGGATTACTTTCATGCCTTTGGCTCAAATGGACCTTTTAGGAATATTTTTAAAATGTTTGCCCTTTCTTTTGCACTTACATACATCGTATGTGACGCAGAAATAAAATATAAAGTTGATAACTTTAGGTAGAGAAGGACAGCTAATTCAGTTAGTCATGTTACATGAGGCCTTTCTCTTTGTGGGGACTATGTTTTGAGAAATCTTGGTGGGCCGCATAACCCACAGTTGCAGAATTTTTGCCGACATTTCTTGATTCCTTTGTCTCCCTGCACCTCACTGTTACCCTCAGTTATGGTCTTAACTGATATTCCTACTTCAAACCTTGTGCTGCTTCAATTTATTCTCCCAACAGAGGCCCAAGTAATCTTTGAAAAAAATAAATCAAAGTTCATCATCCTTCTTTAAACTCCTGATTGCCTTCTGATTATACTTCAAAAACAAGGAAAAAGTCTCAAATCCTGAGCATGGCTCTGGATCTTATTGTAGTCACTTCCCCCAGGCCCAGTGTACCTAAGCTATAGGGCCTTCCTTCAGTTCTTCAGACACACCAAACACTTCCTCACCTCTGCATTCACTTGAGTCTGGAACGTCATTCCCTGACTGCCCTCCCGGATCCTTCTCACCTTCCACTTTGTCATGCCCCACCAATAAATTTTCACCTGGCTAATTTCATGGATTCCTATTCAACATTCAATTACTGCCTTAAATATCACCTCCCAGGAGGGTCTTATCTGAATCCTAAATCTAAACTTGCTTTTTCCTGTTATTACCTGATTTTTAAGCACTTATTATAGTTTTTAATTATATCATTTATTTGTTTAATGACTTTCTCTTCTGCAAGACCAAAGGCTTCCTGACTGTAGACACCAGTGTCTTGCTTGCTCTCAGCCTAGCACATAGTAGGTGCCCAATAAATTATTGTGAATGAATGAATGAGTGAAAGAAGGAAAAAGAAAGCCACAAATACAGTATATAAGTAGGAAACATTCATGGGAAGAAAATGCAGTTTTACTGTTTATCAAAGGAAAGTATATTAAGCACCTATTTTAAATCTGTTAGTAAAATCATTTTAAGTTATAGCTGAGATATGTGGATAAGGACACATTCATATAATATATAAGGAGAAGGACCTTTTCTGGGTTCATTTTCATTTATTAAATATTTGTTAAATGAGTGAGAGGGTGAATATAATCTAGAAAGCAATCTAGCTAACTGTATTTTAAAACATCAAATTACATTCATTGACTCAGTATTTTTTCATAAGAATTTGTCATAAGGAATTGTCCTAAATATGGAAAAGGTTATATGTTTAAAAATATTTCTCACAGTGTTATGTATAGGAGTAAAACATTGGAAATCACCTAAATGCTAATAAAAAATAGTTGAGTAAAGCATAGTATATATCCAACAAATAGTATGAGGGTAACTCATAAACTAAAGGTTAGAATAAATAATGACTTTAAAAATGTTTATAGCATAAGTTTAAGATAAACACAAAGTTTTATAACTATGGTTATAAATTCTATACATGGGGGAAAAAAGACTAGAAAGAAATCTGTCATGCTGCTGTAGCAACAGGATATAGCTATAGCAGATTTTTTTTTTCCAAATTTTCCTTAACGTGCACATTATTTTATTTTTACAGTGATTATAATTATATTAAATTGTGCATGTACAACATAGCTTGTATATTAAGATTCAATTTCAGCTTTAGTACATTTAAATGAGTCTTGGTCCTTATATTGTGTAATCATTGACATGCTGTGCCATTTTTTTTTTTCTTAGGATGACAGAACCTTTCCGGAAGGTTCCCACGCTCATGGGTTAGATCACTCATCCTCTTGGCAGGATCACAGTCGCTTCCTGTCTAGTCCAAGATTTTCATACTTGAACTGTAAGTAATGAAGTCCTGTACCCGTTTTTAAATTGGATTTCAGAAAATGCAACACATGGAAAAATTAGTTTAAGGCCAGCACATGATAGTAATATTCGTAAGTCTGAGAAAATCCTCATGAATCATACAAATAATATTCAAGGATACTCCTAATAGTACACAGTTTACTAAAAATATGTAGAATCCCTTCTTTTTAGACTTAATACTTCTCAGAATAACTTCATCACCCAAAGTAAAAATCCTAATTAGGCAAATTTTTTATTCAGAGATTGCTGGTAACTATAGAGGAGTGAGCAAAGCAAGCTGTTTTATAATAAAATTCAAATTATCAAAAAAATTGAAGGGTTTTGCATCTAAATGTTGAGAAATATGTAATCTTGTACAAAGAATATCAGTACTATTACTGCTGGATTTCACTCTGTGACTACTCTATAAATCTTGATAAATGTCAGTGTCAACAACGTGTGAGTTCATTAGCAGAGGATACCATCTCCCACCATCTATCTACCCCCCAAACCCCCGCCTCCCTTCCCTACTATACATGGTCTTCAGGTTTCAGCTTATATGTAATTTCCTTAAAGAAGCTTCACAGTTTTAAGTGCGGTCTCTGTTATGAGCACCCACAGTGTGCTACAATTTTTCTTTATATCCTGAGGATAGGAGCCATGCCTGTTTTGTTCACCACTGTTTCCTTGGCACTCTATAATAGTAGTTGGCAAATAGTAAATACTCAACTAATATTCAATTAATATTAAATTCATTTGTATATAAGTTGTTTTTGTTAAGTCCACATTTATCTCAACTATTAGGATCCAAATGTTATTTAATAGATTCTTGTTTAGGTAATAATTTAGCTCTTCAGTTTATCATGGGCCTCTAAGGTTGTACATTAAATTTGATAATTCTGTCATTTAAAATAGCTATATTGCTCTAAAATAAAATACCAAAATAAGCCACAAGGAAGTAGGTCAAATCCAAAGGTGATAATTCTCATTTTTGCTGGTTTATATTCATGAATTCATTGAATAAATATTTATCAGGTTTCTGATAAGTGGTTTGGTTTTCATTATTTCATGATTATTTTATTCCAAATGCTGAACATTTTTTCTTCCTGTCCTAATCATTTTCCCAAGTGATTTTGTATCTACATAAACCCTATGCTATTTTAATCTAAGAAGCACCCTTCAATATGGACCTCAAGTTGGTTATAGCACCTCATAATTTGATATACACATAGGCCAAATATTTTTTTCTTTCATATTTAGCAATGGAAAACTTTCTCCAAGTCCTTTTAATATGAATGAGCATGGAGGAGGAAGGAGGGACTTAGCACCATGAAATATCAGAGTGTCCCAATTAGTAAGACATTCAAGAGCCTGGAGATGAACAGCACCATGATGTGAGCACAGAGGTCTTTGTACTGCTGCTGTTATGTTTGCATCATAACCTTCATAAACCTTGCTGGAAAGGTGTCTAGAGGGAATTGTTTAGAAGACATTAAATGGAAAACATCAAGATTTTTGGAATTTTGTTTATTACTATGATAGGCAGTGAAGGAACCTATATTTAGGTTTCTCTGCTAGCATTTCGTGACCAACTGTGGTCATTTCTCTAATTAAGACATATTGCTCACAAGCAACCATTGGTTTCTATAGCAATACACTCACTGAAAAGGAAATAAAGTTAAATAGGAAAAAATATCAATGAAAGCATAATTTGGAAAAGAAAACAATATTATAGTTTATATTCTAAAATCTAACTGAAAAATTTAGCCTAAAAAGTAAAACTCTTAATTGGTTTATTAATAAAGTAATTAATTAATTGATTAATCCATAGCCTTATGTTTTACTATTCTTCTCTTGTACAAGTTTGTTTTATGATTTTTTTCCTAGACCTATCCCCATATTTTCAAAAATACTTTTAAAAATTTAATCATAGCTACTTTATCATTAATTACTTTTAAGTAATTGAATTAGAATTATTTCTGGAAAACATATTTATTCTTATTTGCTTTTCTGATAAGCCTTATGTTTTCTGTTTTAAATAATGGGGCACATTCGCAGTGAGAAAAATTAGGAGTATCCTGAATACTTTATTTTTTGTAGCAAAAATTCAGCAATAAATTGTCCTGTAATTTTTCTTTAATCTCCCTTTAAACTTGAAAAATTAAAAAGAAGTGATGCCAGGACCACAAAGAGAAAAACATAACTTATAGCAAATGAGTAATACAGGGAACAGAGTATGTTTTCAAAAATATAATTAATACCCTTCCAGAGATAAAAGAAAATATGATATCCACTAAATTTAACAAGAGCAGGATTCTGTGAAAAAGGAACACAGACTAAGTGATATCAGAATTTTAAAATATGATGGCCATAAAGAAGAAAGAAAACCAGAAAGGTGGAAAACAATGTGAAATAACCACAAAGAAAGGAGAAGAAAAAGAAAAAGGATGGGACAATAGAGAGAAAAGACAAAATGTTTAGAAAATCAATTCGGGGGGACCATACATGATTAATGTCAGTCTTCAGAGAACAGAGGATACAAAACAAGAGGCCAGGAGTAGCCAGGCCCACCCAGCAAACACCCACTGCACAGCTGTCATCCTGAGATTTTCCTTCACTCTTTTCCTATATTGATGCCCATGTGCCCAGATCCTATACCTTCCTCTTTCTTGTTTCACTCCTTTCTTTTTTGTCAGGATAAGCAAGCCCCAAAATTGAGGCTTGGTCCAGGAGGGTTCTTGGCTTCACCCAGGGAAGATTCAAGGGCAAGCTGGTGGTGGTAGCTGTAGTTTTTATTGAAGCAGCAGTATACAGCAGCAGCAGGGGTCCTTCTCGTTGCAGAACAGGGCTACCCTCTAGGCAGTGTGCCCAGAGCATCAGCTCAGAGGCAGTTCTGCACTCATAGTTATACCTACTTTTAATTATATGCAAATTAAAGGGCAACTTATGCAGAAATTTCTAGGACGAGGGTAGTAACTTCCAGGTTGTTGGGTTGTCACCAGGAAAATGAGCAGTAACTTCCTGGTGTTGCCATGGCAATGATAAATTGACATGGCACACTTGTGGGTGTGTTTTACAGGGAGGTGCTTCTGCTAGAGACGTGTTTTAGCTAGTCCTCAATTTGGGCAGGTGTCCAAGCCCTGCCTTTGGAGTCTAGTCCCATCTCCTATCTCAAGAGCACATCAAAGAAAAGGAGGTAACTATTTTTAGTCTTTGTATTTCTAAAAATAGATTTCTTCCCTTCACACTTGACTGAGACTTTAGCTAGCTGTAAAATTCTAGGTTGAAAATGATTTTCTTTCCGAAGTCATTGAGCAATTATCTTCCAAAGTCCAATGTTGTTGAAAAATCCTTTATTCCTTGATAGAAACTGTCACTCCTTTGAAGTCATCTTTTGCACCCCCTATTGCCCCTACGTCATCCTTTCTACAAATCGTTCCAGAAACTTCTAGGATCTTCTTTTTCAACCCCAGTGAGTTTCTGATGATGTGCCTCAGTGTAAGTCTTATTTTACTTATTCTTCTAACTACTTTTAATCTGGACATGCATGTTCTTCAGTTCTGCCATACTGAAGGAAGAAAGGAAAGATTCTATCCAGAAAACTGGCAAGAAACAAAAAACTGATAGATTATCTGATACAATTAAACACTTAAAAAAAAAAAAAGACTACTAGTGGACATATGGCAGATGTAACAGCACTTAGAAGCAAGATGGCCACAGAGAAAGACCAAATAAAAATAAATAAAATTAAAACAAGAGTCAATTAATAAACCCAGGAGAAACAAAATGAATAAGAAGAGAAATGCTGTCATAGTATACTTACTAGGTTTTCACGAGCCATGTTTGGCCATAATAATGTAAACAGTCACATAACTAAAAGCTCACATGTAATTATATTGGGAATATGGGGTGAGGAGAAGGGGTTGGGTGTGGATAATGTCTAAATATATAAATCAGAAAATAGCAATATAGGCTTTTCCATGTTTTACGAAAATGAAATAAATACAGAAAATAAAACTGGAAGAGGTGATTATAGCTGACTCTGGGGAGTAGGATTGTGGAATTGAGAGAAGTAGGACAAGAAACTCCTGTTTTCCTATGTAACCCTGTGGTATTATTTGATATGTGTATATACACTTTGGCTAAAAATGATTCTTACAAAGACAGGTGTTACTAAGAAAATCCCTAGCTTTTATATCTGACTAGTAAATATCTAATTTTCTTGTTAAGTTCCAGGTGGAACATGATAACTTGGGTTTGTAGTTTGGCGCAGTTTAGATCTGTTTAGAGACTTTGGGAGTGGATAATCATAGGTCCTTAGGCAGACACAAGTTTCTGGGTCCACACAACAGTTAGCTCCTTACTCTAGTTGGATTTTGTACTGAGGGAGGCCCTTTCGTTTAAGCTGTGGATGCTAAGGCATTCATTCTGCTGACTTAGATGCCCTGTCAAACTGTGACCAAACTAAAGCATAGAATCACTGACCATGGAAAAAACAAAGGAAATGGGAAAATACTGCATAATTTGTGGTCTCTGAAGTGATCCAGCATTAATGAAAGTTTGTTTTAAGAAGTAATTTATGTCAGCTTTGTGTAGTTCAGGTCAATTCAAGAAAAGGTAGATTCCTTCTGCCAGGAAGAAGGGAAGAAATGTATAAATTGTAAGTTTATACTACCATTGGAAATAGGAACACAGAAATCCATTATTTAAAGTCATGATCACTACCAAATTTTTCCTGGCTGGCTAGAAGTTATGGCCGTGAGTCAGATACTCTTTTAGAAGACTTGGATTCCATTACCTTCAGCCTGTAGACAGTGGGGGCTTAGTAAGGGAGACTCATAATGTCAGCTTTTGAAACTGTCATTTTTGTTTTTTAAAAGTGGCAACTGACCACTAGTCTCCATGTATAGCTCCTTTTAGACTAAAGGAACACAACTCTAGGACAGAGCCATCACTCCCAGGACTGGGACCAGCCCAGACTTCAGTGAAGTTCATTGTAATCTGATGACTTCTAGAAATCTCTAGTTTTTTAATACTAAAATGCTTAATCTTTGTAGAAATTGGTGTCTCCAAACCAAATTTTAAAAATAAATGCAGATTGTAAATTTCCTGTAAATCTAAAACTGTTCTAAAAAATAATGTTTATTAAAATAAATAAACCCAAAAAAGAAAGAACTGTGATTCTTCATGGGGAAAATGTGTTATCTACGGATTATTATAGGAGTTGGAAGTGAATCTTACATATTTTTTTAACTTGATATTCTTAGAAAAGCAAATTAATCAAAGTTGCTTAAAAATACTATTTCACTTTCTTACCTCAGTTTACAGTGCTATAAAAAGAAAAGTTAGTATTCTCAATTTGTGTTTTGAGGTGTCTCTACTGGTAGTTTAAGTCCCTGGGGTGAAAAATAATTTATTCACAGCAAGAACAGCATATTTTTTTCACTGCTGTGTTATACTTCAAGGCTCACCTGGCTAACTGTGAAAAGATATTTCATAGGTAGTCTATCCTCAGACTTTTGGAATAAAATGCCAAAAACTAATGGCAATGAAACATCAGGACACTGATAAGGGCAATAAAATTATTTCTTGACCATTAAAGGATTTAATTCTATGAAAGTACAGTCTTTCTATCTCTCTCATTTTACAGGTTTATTTTATGTGACTATCATTCAGATATTTTTTACTGATCAGTCAAATGCCAGATATTTTTAAATAATTGAATTCTGATTATTGCAAGTTGATAAGGTACTCTCAAGAGGCACTCCAGAAATCAATAGAAAACCCCCAATTGGCTGTCCTTTTTAAATCCCTCAACTATATTCACTTGTTCAACCAGTATTTACTAGGAGGCTGTGTACCATGTCCAGTGTTCAGTTCTGGAGGAAACAGTAGTGAACAGGACAGTCAAGGTCACCTCATCTCATGGAGAAACAGGTAGCGAGCAAGTAAACACATAATTTAAAATGGTGATTGGTGCTGTCAAGGTAAAATGATAGAAGGTACCTGAAACAGGAGCACTCTTTTTTTTTTTTTTTTTTTTTTTTTTTTTTTTTTTTTTTTT